GCTGCGAGAGCCAGGGTTGGGGGTCCCAGCAGCAGCTGGTGAGCCCCCCAGCTACTGCAGGACTCTGCTGCCACTGGGCACAGGTGTCTGGAGCGGGACCCAAGCTTTGGGGTGCAGGGAGAGGGCTGTGGGGTGCCCAGCCAGGGGGTGCAATGCTGACTGCCGCGCTGGGAGAAAGAGCTGCGGGGGGCTCCCCACGAAGGGAGAACTAGCATAGCGACACCAAGTTCTATCAGAACAGCACTTAAAAAAATAGTTTTAATGTTTAAGATACACCATCTGTTTATTCCACAGCAGGATCCCACCGCCTGAGTTAGCACAAAGGTTGAGCGTGAGCATGGCACGTGGCCCTGCTCAGCAGGCAAGCGTGGGAGGGAGGGATCAGCGCCGATGCAGGGTGGGGGTAACTCCAGCGGGCTCATCCCTGACCACACGTTTGCCCAAAACCAAAGCTCAGGCTGAAGCCTGCTCAGGAGAGGCACAGGCTGCGCATTCAGGGTGTGCACACAACCACGCAGTCAGTGGCACAGCAGCATCCCTGGGATGGGAGCACCCAGCAGGCACAGCCCCAAACAGACGGATCGATCCGGTACATTCTCCAATTGAAGCTCCACAGGGAAGAAAAGGCACCAACCTTTTGCCTCCGTGAATCCCACCACCCTTCCAAAACCCCCTTTCCCCTAGAAATAGCTGCCTCCCCGGCGCTCAGGAGCCTCGTCACTCAAGCACACCGGCAGCACATCTCAAATTATTCATTGATTCCCCCCATAGAGCCTGGAGAAAACAGCCAAAAGGAATTGCAAGGAGCAAGTGTCCTCCCTGTGTTTTCTCAGTAAAGAAGCAAAGGCTTTCCGAAACGCCCTCACGATGCCACCATCCATGGAAACAGTGTGTAGATCCCAAACGCAAAAGGCAGATGCCTTTCCCAGTCACCAGGATGTGTCACTGACAAGGCAGGGACAGGCAGGTTAAAGTGCATTATATCACCCAGTCGGAGCAGGAGATGGAGACACCTTAAGAATAATGGTACTAAAACTGCTGGAAGAAAGCAACTAATCTGAGTGACCTTGGGCACACAGCTGGGCTTTTCACACCAGCTGCCGATACTGATCAGTGAGTAGGAAGCTATTTAGGAAGTAATCCTGAAAAACGTAGTTTCATTCTCTTGCTTTACAGGGCAATCTAAACGATGTAAACAGCCATTCAAAATAAGGACCCTGTTGCTTCCAAAAGTAACTCTGAGCACAGTCCCATGGACTATTTCCTCTTTGAACACAGTTTACTGTTTGCCTTTAGAGCTCACTGTTGTTTGTGAATTATTTCTGCCTTAACTGTGCAAAGATGACTACTTTGCTCACTTTGAGCCCCTGTAAGGAAGTACCTGGAAAGACACTAAGTAGCTGGAGTGAGCTTGGCTCTGCCAGGTGAGCCCTTTCCAAAGGAGCTTTTCAACACCTCCTCATCCCAACAGAGACTAGACAATATTCATACACCCTTCTGCAGGAGAGCAATTTTTCTGGTCTGGCATCCATCGCCAGCAATGGACACGGGGAGTTTGGTGAAATCAGTCTGAAAGCAACCTGTGAAGTGCAGGAATACTGGAAGCACTTGTAAACGTCACTGCAGCACACCGCCAGGACATCCTACTTCAGCTCCCCGTGGCATCTCCTCCAGACACTGCGGAGCAGAGCTGACTCAACATGGCTTGGGCATTAAATATTAAATCCAGTTCACGGGCAACCTGCTGTCACCACTGCTCAGAAGGTGCTCTCGAGCAGGCAGTGGCATCCACAGCCTGTCGGACACACCTCCTGGGTGCGAAACCACTCCATCATATGGCTGGTGTGGCCTCCGTGTCCGCAGGTCAGGCAGAAATTAGAGGAGCCTCGCACTGCCACGTGACAGATAGCACACTGGAAGGTGAAGCCCTTGCAGATGGCACACTGGGTGCCACGCACCTCGCTGCGGCAGTGGCTGCAGTACACGCCGAACTCTGGCCGGAGGAAAGAAACGGAGAGCAAGACAATTAGTGCTGGCAGAATCCTGGACAAAGCAGCCCTGCATACAACACCCCCCCCCCCCCCATTCAACAGATGAGTTCCCTGAACCCAACACCCAAGAGATCTGCCTCAAATCTCCTTCAGGGTGGGAGAATGGTATCTTACAGAGGTCTCAGTTTGGTGTCCGTATGGGAGCAAAGACATCGGCAATCAGTGTGCTGGGGCACAGACTGGCCCACCGATTCCGCTGACGGCTAACCTGCTGTCGGCTGGGAATGTGTGTCAGATTTCTAGCTCGGGACATGCTAACACATGCTGCCAAGATAAAGGCTTCCCGCTGGTCTTATCTGTCTCACATCACTATGAAGTGTAACTAAGAGCAAACGAGAACAGCCTTTGTTTCTCATCATGGAGAGAGCACAGAGCACACTTGATGCGTGCTATATCTGTGTCGTGACTGTTAGCCATGGAGGGGCAATGGCAGTGGTCAAAGTCACTAATTTTCACTCCAGTTACTCCCCAGGACGAGTCCCTGGTGACAAGGTGAGACTGTAACAAGAGCTAAGCAAGCAACCGCTGATTCTCTGGCATCTCTCACCCACTTCTCCCAGGTTAAGTGCATCTTCTTCCAGAGGCCTAGGAAGAGGATAGAAGCTGTCCTTAAGTGACAGTTCTGGGAAGCTACGCTACTGAAAATATTTTGGGAGAGGCGTTCTATTTGCCTATTTCTTGGCTAGCTCACCCACAGTTAGAGATCTCGCAATTTTATGCATGCACTGCAAGGACACTTCAGCCCAGAATCAGAGATTAGGACAGTGCATGTCTGGGCTCTTATTCAGGGGGAATAAAGAACAGCCATCAGCATAAAGAGCTAAACATTGCTCGCATAGCAGTATGTGCGTTTCTAGCTTCGCTGGAGAGACGATACAGTCTACAAAGCCCTTGAATCAACATCTGCAAGCCTCATCCCCACCCAAGAACTAACCTCTGGGAGGATCGATGGACACTTTCCATCCCACCTGCTGACTGTATGTTCCTAAGCCCCTGAGGTAGAGCCGTGTCTCTGCCCAGGCAGCCGGAGCAGACCGAAGCGGCGACTCACCAATTCCTTTGTGGGGATCAGGAGGACAAGAGACAAACTTCAGAACCTCAGCCCGCTTCTCTCGCAGGCCCCAGCGATAAAGGATTTCTCCATAGCACTTCTTAAAGTCATCAAATTGCTGAGTGTTGGCAGGATCCAGGAGCCTAGAGGAACAAACAGCATTGTCATCCACCTGACTGACTCTCTGAGACTCTGGTTGTAATCCTCTTTGCAGTGCTGGCTATGCAACCAGCTCACATTTCTAGAAGAGCAGCAGATTACTTCCCACGTGTTGCTGAAACACTGCTGAACACTAACTGGTCTGGCCTTCACTTGTTCTACGCTCAAGGGTGTGACAAATGGGTGGACTACCCTCTGGGGCCCCCACCATAGCCACTTACAGATGTATCATATGCAATCACAACAGAGTTGATCTGCAGTATGAAGCTTCTCCAAATGACTATCTGAATGAAAAGGTCTAGGAGCAGGTGTGCTACTTTCCTTCTGGTTTTCACAGCATCAACAGAGACCTGGCTATAGAGTTCCAGCTGACTTGGGCACAGAGTGACACATCCCTGAATACCCCCGAGGCATGCCATAACCTACCTTTTGTTCTTCTCATGCTGGTCTTTCTCACGCTCCCGATGATCAGGATACATTAGGTTTCCGTAGCGGAAGTCATCCGGAGAAGACTCGCACCAGGGAGTGGAGGCCTGCTCCGTGTCTTTGTTTGCTGCAACCATCAAAAGGTTGTGAGCATACCTCAGAAAGCACAGCACTCACGAGCACAACCTCGTCAAAACCGGGGTGGGGAAGGAGGCACAGAAGACCACACATTCGCACACCCCAGTTTTCTCTTTAAGACATGGTCATATCACCTTCTGCATTCCTACAAACGCTGCCCTGCCTCAGAAAACTAAGTGCCAACCTCTACTTGCCAGTGCTCCTACTGCACTTCTGTTGACAGGATGGGAATGGGGATCATCAGGCAGAGAAATCCAACATGGACAAATCCATTTTGCCTTCTACTTTAGACAAAAAGTATCCAGGGAACCAATCCCATGGAGTTTGCTTGGGAACGTTATCCCCCGCAGGCCTGGGCTCCTCTTTCCTAGACAGGGAGGACTCTCATCACAAGGGCTGCTGTTACGTAAAGGGGCCTCTGTATGTAAGGGATTGCCCTGGGGGCAGGGAGAAGAGTGCCAATAACCGCTAGAAGACAACATCAGCTCCATTAACCCCCATTCTCCACTCTTCCCCATGTCACAGATGCCTTGATATCACACTGAAAAGTTACAGCTTTGGTGCTAACAGGGCTGATGCTGCCCCAAGGCCACGTATATCACTAAGAATCAGCCAACAGCTTCAACGCTGACACTGGAGCCCTTAAGAGTGACTTGTCTTTGACACCTTCACGGCTCAGCAGAAAACATCCTTAGGCCTGCAGGTATTCATGCCACTGAGACCCAGCCTTCCCAACTGCTGCTGTTTTGCCAGTGGCAGGAGAAAGCACAACATTGCTTCTTCCCCTGAAACCTGTGGAATTAGCTGGCTGATGACACTGCAAGGCCACTCTTGATAATCGTTGAACAATCATGGTGACTGGGAGAGGTGCCTGAGGACTGGAGGAAAGCAAATGTCACTCCTGTCTTCAAAAAGGACAAGAAGGAGGACCCAGGGAACTGCAGGCCAGTCAGCCTCACCTTGATCCCTGGGCAGGTGATGGAGCAGCTAATCCTGGGAGCCATTTCCAGGCACATAAAGGACAAGGAAATTATCAGGAGTAGTTGGCATGGATAACAGCCTCAAACTGTGCAAAGCACTAGGGCTATGGAAAGCTTACGGCACCAGGCAGCATCAAGGCAGTCACCCCGAGTGCTTGCTATAGCCAGGCTGGAAACAAAGTGGTATGAACTGGTCTCTCTCTTTACTTGTCTCCAACTGGAAAAGGTAGCAGTGGGAGCTCTTGGCTCTGGGTTAACCTGTGATCTAGGGGCCTAGCTCGGTATGTCTAGGGCATTTGTAACAGTTTCTCCCAGTTGGACAGCATGCTACAGAAGTCAGAAGGGGCAGGACTGCCAGAGCATCAATGTGGTTACTGTAAGTCCTGCTCACTTCCAGCCATGGAGTCACATCACGTTGGCCAAACCCTGGAAAGCTGCTCTGGCAGAGCACATCTGCAATCACAGCCAGTAGTAACTCCCTTCTTTCCCCTCCACAGAAGCCATCTAAAACCTAGGCCAGAAGGGAGGCAGATTTCTCTGTTTACTACACAGGCCTCAGTACCTATGCTCCAGCCTCCGGTGCCAAGTCCAGGATCTGACATGCTGGAACAGGAGCCAGAGGAAGTAAAGCTCGGCTGTTGAGGGGGAAAGGAGAGGAAATCATGTCATCTACATGAGATGATCAAAGATATCCAAGACAAACGGGAAAGAAATGGTGGTCATACATATCGGCTGTGGGAGGCCAGGTTGGAGGCACGCTGAGGAAAAGGGCCATAGGAGTTTGGGCATCCCTGTAGCCTGGATTGGGCTTCAAACACACTGCACAGCATGGCCAGGGTCTGCACATCATGGAGCTGCGAGTAATGAGCCAGCCTGGGAAATGAAAAATACAGACAGTATGAGACTGGGCAGAGTTCAGTGGCAAAAGCATCAAGACTCCAGGGCAACTAATTTCAAACTTGTTGAGTAAATCGATTTGGGTCACATTACTGCCCACAGGATGTGTATGCACTCTAGAGGACTGGGTTGTCTTTTCCATCACACCTTCAAGGAGCCAAGTCCTCCTGAAAACACTTGTGGCCTAACAGGCTGGGAATCCAGCAGTACTCATGGCCTGATTATCCCAAGTTTGTGCAGCTTCAGGAACAACTTCCACAGAACTGATTTTAACTGGATATAAACCTGGAGCCATTAGACTCACCCCCAGCCACAATGTCTTTTTGACAAAACCCTCTACATGCCAGCATCCTGCATCTAGATTTCAAGGCAAAACCCCAGCACAGGTTTTCTGGATGGCTATGAAGTTCCTGGATTGCTCTGAAGACCGAGAGTGATGAAGAACAACCTGTGCTCCCCTCCCACTGCTGCCACACAGCAGGAAAGAGCTAGGTGAAGCAACAGTATGCAAAGTACACCACACAAATCCTGTGCCGCCAAACAGGGTATATCAACAGATAATATCAATTACTAATTATGTAATTATGTCCCCTCCTGAACAGATTCACTGGCAGGAGGGCAGTTGCAGCTAACATTTGGCTTTGAGACCAGTTGGAATGATTTCCCAGTAATGCTATATGGCAACAGTGAATTTGAAGGTGACCAAATCAGCTGCACCAACACACTCATTTAGGAGATGGGGAGCAGAAAACCACAATCTCCCAGTCAGGCATTGTGGGCATGCTGGAAAGCAGAGCTCCAACTGCACCTGGCCTATTGCTTAATGTTAGCCAAAGATGACCTGGGTGCTAGATGGGAGGCCAAATGCTACCTCCTGCATGTCATAAACACACTTGCAGCTTCCCATCTTGATGCATCTCAGGCTTGAGACAGTAAAAAAATACAAGCTGTGGCACTATTCCAAGTCTGAAATGATGCCATACAATGTACATACTTATGGAGGGCTCTGCTTCAGCAACCATTCCCCAACCCCTCCCCGGCATTCAGACACCTACAAGGACTCCAGTAATTGACGTCCAAATGGATGTTGTGCCCAAGGTATCTCCAAATCTGGGTCAGACTTCGGTCCAAGACAGAGATCAGTGGCTACCATGGCCAGTGACCAAACCTGGCAGACAGGAAGGAAAAGCATCAAAGCTACAATTAGAAATAACCACACTCCCAGGGCATAGGTGTGCACAAATTCACTCACAGACAGATAATAATGGAGCTTGCTTTTTTTCTTTTTTCCCCCTGGCAGCAGGGAACAGTTTCAGCCTCTGTGTCACAAATAATACATAGAGTAACACAAACCCGAAGCTCTCCCTGTCCCACTTGCTTTGAGTTTGGGTTAAACTTTGAAGAATAGTCTATAGTCTAACAGACCTGTCAGTAGTCCCACAGCTGCTCACTGTGAACCCAGAGAGAAACAAACAGGAAAGAAACTGAAACAAGGACAGGGCTGAGTACAAGAGAGCACAGAAAGGAAATTGGAAAGACACCACGTCCTACGCTGCTATAGAGCATGCCTTACATGTAACCTGCAGCTCAAGCCTCCATGTCCGCTAGGAATAAGGCAAGCTGCAATACAGGCTAGAGTTACATGGGACAGGGAAAACCAAGCAAGAAACAGAGGTGTCTTAGAGAAATCTTGCTGAAGTTATTCCACTGAAGCTCTGGTCCAATGTGGGCAAACCAGACAGCAAGATGAAGCACAAAGGCGAACTAGACCTACCTTCTCTCTCCTGGTCTAGCAGAACCCACCAAGGAGCAAGACAACAGCTTGAGTTTGCTTCTGCTTAGATCAGGTAAGCCTATGCATGTTCCCTGCCCAGGTCTAGGAAAAGCCAAATGCTCAGGAGAGGTGCATCGGCTCCTCTGGCAGTGCCAGCCCACTCTCATCTCTTTCAGGCACTCCTGAGTCCTGTCAAATGGTCTGCCTGTTGCGATGGACTAATCACATGGAAAAAGGATGGCCCAAACCAGCCATTTTTCTCCTATTGCTAGCTGAGGGTAAGTGGCCAGCCCTGTTCTGGGGCTGGGTCCCTGGGCTCAGACTCTCCTGGGGAGAAGCTAGCTGCAGTTAGCACCCAGTGCCAGTGCAGATGAATACCAAACAATGGGAACAGTTACATAAGTAAGACAAAATCACTGATCAAAATGCTGACAGCAGCTAGGCAACTGTGTGCACAGTTACTCCATTTGCTGACTCAAAAGTAGGCTGCATTCCTCACTTTGCCTGCAGGAATTCCCTAAAAAATGTGCTTCACTCAGTTTGGCAAAGGGCGTAACACAATCTGCTTGCAGCCCTGGGAAGGAATCTCTTGATGCCAAGAGTCAATGAGGTAGAGACCACGTCCGTGGCTGTTCCATAGGCCTTGGTTCACGAACCAGCGACTCCCTGGAACAACTGCTGACCCCAGGTGGCTGTTGGGGTATCAAGGTGACAGAACAAGCCATTTGAGGGTAGCACAGCATGCTCAGGAAGAGGTCTGATTCATTGTAATACCTGTACGAGATCCCTCCGTCCCACAGCCAAGGCTGAGGCAGCATTCTTCTGGCAAGTCTCCTGGATATTATTCACATTCAGTCTAAAAAGAAAGGAGATAGCTCAGCTCTGGCTGGCACGTTACCTGTGAAGGTGGGGAGGGATGGGGGAAAGTGGTACTGGCAGCAGTGAGTAGCCCAGAAGTTCCAGATCAATATGAGCCTGCAAGCATGACCAGGATCCCATCCCTTCCTCCCCTGTTATTCAGGGATCACTGCCATCCTTCTGGCAACTCCCACTATTCATCTTCCCTAACACACTGCACATCAAGTCCAGCTCCAAACTAGCTGGGATTGATCCTAAGATGCACTGCTTCCAAGGAGGTATTGGACCAAACTTGTGCCAGGACTCCAAGCCAAGATTCATTCTTGTCCCTAAAGCTGGTGCCATCAGTTACATGGTCCTGTTCCCATTCAGCCTGTTGGTCTGCTCTGACTGACCTGGAGGGAGACAGCAGTACGCTGCAGAGAAGCAGGTTGGTCTTCAGTCTGTTCCCCAGTAGGATAATGCACCCACCGGGGAGTCTACAAGAGGCTGGCAAGGTGGGCTGAGCAAACCCATGTTTCTTTCCCAAGGCTTTTCTGCTTATTGTCAGAAATCTTCCTGAGACACTTGACACTTTTACTGCTTAAGATCTTACAGCAAATGGAAAAGGGTCAGGCTGTTTACACATGAGATATCCAGAGAAGGCAGGTCCAACAGGTCTTTTTAAAGAACATTATTTTTAATAATATAAAAAAGAGAGAAGGAAGATTTCTTCTCTCTTTTTTCCTCCCCCTTCTTTAAGAAGGGAAGCCTGCTTCTTCCCTGAATGTCCATAGACTGGAAATTCCGTGAAGGACCAGATAGTATTACCAAAGCTAAGGAAGCAAAAATTCAGGAACAGAGATTTTGTAACTATCTGAATTAAACAGTTTAGAAAAAGCAGCTCCTTGTTTTAAAAAACCCAAACCACTAAACAAAACAAACAGAACTTCTCCATCCTTTCCATTAAAGCAGAAGAACTTGCTGTATAGACACTGTCATGTACAACCAGGTCTCCAAGTGAATGGGGCACTCCAAACACTTCCAGAATTTAAAAGCCTTATGAGCTAGTAACAGTTTTATAGTATGAGAATGTGCGTTTATTGGGATTTTTAAGCCTGTGCATTCAAGTGTGGAGTTTAACATGAGATTTGAAAAGAATCTGTACTGATAATTTCTCTCTTTAGCTGACAAAAACCTGAACCTGCAGTGATGATGCTGGAGCACCTTTTCAAACTCTGTGTACAATACCCCATCACAAATTTCTTCCATCACACTTTTCAGATTTATAGGAGACAAGTCCCCTCTCACAGGTAGAGAGGGATACCGTAAAAAAGCAGCAAGGCAAGAACAGAGGAAGAAGGTAAGGAAACATTCAAAGATCAGTTCTGACTGATTTCAGGATTAAAGCACAGCAATGCCAAAGACGGCTGCTTTCATTTGGGAAAGGATGCCAGGCTGTACTCACATGTAGAGCTCTCCTAGCAGCTTGTGGACAGGCAGCAAGCAGGAAATATCTTGGATAATAACTTTCCCGGCGGCTTTGATGGGTCGGTTGTTGGCATCTGTCCCTTCTCGTTTGCTTTTCCACCTCCTTGATTTCTGCAGAACAAATGGCAATGTGTTACTGGGGAGGAGGACAGCAGACTTCCTGGGCCAGGGAACAAAGCACTAGGGTCAGGAGTAATGCAAGCAGCACCCAAACCTGCCTTTCAGAAGGCTCTGTGTTACCCTGGAAAACATCCATGACATGCCCAGGAGAACAAGCATCTCCATCTGTGGGAAGTGAAAAGCAGGTCAAGGCAGCGAGCTCAAGGTCAAACCCACTCAAAAAGTATTTTGTGAGTTCCCCTGTGAAAGCCAATAAGAGAACAAATCAGCATCAGGATGCCAATCAAACCTGGGCAGGTTTGGCAGGAGGACAGTTCAATTATCATTCTCATTAGAGGTCTGGTCTGGGAACCCTCTGCACAGAGACCACTGCTGACTTCAGCCAACAGCTTCTGCTTGCTCTTAGCTTCAGGGCAAGCTGACAGCTCCAGACTGTCTCTTTTGGTCTCTCAGTGTTTGAGTACACCCCTGTTTAGCGCCAGGACAGGGCTCCCACCTCCTGCTTTATCAACAGCGTCAAACAAACAACTGGCAGGTGATAAAGCAGGGCCCAAGTTTTCCTAGCAAGGATCCTTAGCTACCATGCTCACAGCTACTTACAGCTGGCTCAGGACATATGGTGGCGGGGAGAAGAAAGGAGAGGAATCAACACAAGGGAACAAAGCCAAGAAGCCAAGATTCCCAAATACTCCCTGTAACAGACACAGAGGCCACCTTAATGCCAACCTGCTTAAAGCTACCTTGGCTGTATAAAACACTGTGGAGTATTTGGCTGGTATCCTGGCTTCTTCCAGCCCTTGCTCTAGGAGGGTGAGGAGGAGGGATGAGAGGATGTACGGCAGCACGACAGGCAGAAGGCACTGGAGCTCTACCGAGGGAAGCGACGGCTGCTACTAGGGGCTCCTAAGTGCAGCGAAGGATGCTTTGCAATGCTGCTCCCCTGTGGCGTGTTCTCTCACTGACACACGGAGTCCATGCTCCTAACAATGTCCATAACAATGGAGGGTGTCCTGAGGCAGTTGCAGCGGGGCTTCCTACACCCCTATCCAAAGCAGAACAGCCCCTTTGAAGGGGCCAGCAAAAGAGCCCTGTGCCAATGGCTCTGCAAGGCAGGCAGAGCTCACACAAGCAGCACATCGGTGCTCCTAAAGAGCAGGCTGGGCTACAGAAAGGGCAAGTCTTTGGCCTGCAAGCAGGGTCACCTCTACTGTGGATGTCAGGCCAACTCTGGGATGGCTGGGTGCCAAACTGCCTTTGACCATGATCATGCAGTCCTGTGAGAACCCAGGCAGGCTTATCACAGGCACAAAATGCCCTTTTAAAAAAATCCCAAAAAACTAATAACCTTAAGAAATTGATTCCTCCTTCACTGCCTGCCTGGCTCAAGCTTAGGGCAATGTGCTGAGGAGGTCTTGCCGTGCTGAGCATACTACTAGCACATGCCACAAGAAGCAAAAAGGATGTGCTCCTGAGGTCGCCCTGGACACTGGGTAACTGAGGCTCAGAGGCTCAAGCACAGGCTTGACAGTAAGTGAAGAAGGTGTTTTGGACTTCAAGGAGGTGGTGGATTTTTCCAGGGATGCCCACGTGACAGAGCATCACTAGTTCCCCTGATCTTCCACTGCTCCCCAGAGTAAAGAGGAGCAGAGCGTGCATGCTGCCCAGTATTCAGAAATGCCAAACGCTGGTGGAAACAGGGCTGTTGGCATTCAGTGCTATGGAAAAGCTGGCTGACTAGGGCATGATTCTGTTCTCTGCCACATCCCCTCAAGTCCTAATTCATCCAAGCAGAATTTGCCTGCCGTATTTATCTGCTACATCACTCTGAAGCTGAGAATTGCTATGCAGTGGAAGGTGGCTAGAACATGGTCAGGTGGGAGACCAAACTCTCTTCAGTCCTTCAACTCCAATCAAGGCACTGTCTGGATCAGCTCTGGCTCTTTTGCCATCATGCAGACTATACCTCTTTTGATAACACCTGAAAACATAGCTACTCTTCCCATGCTGAAGGATGTGGGCTGTATTACAATAAGGTTCCCAAATAACAGTGGCACCTGTACCTCATCCCTCATCAGGGCAGCCAATTGCTGTCTCCTAGGTGCAGCGAGGAGCTGCTGATGCTGCCAAAACCAATACTTGAGCAAAGCTTGGGAGCCCCAGCACAATAACATGCCATCAGGGCAAGAGCTCAGGCACTGTCCTGGAAGGGCTACCAGGCTTCTCACAACAAAAGCTGTTATTTGTGCTGTGTCTGAGCAGGTATTTGAACCCACACTTGCAGATGCAGAACCACATTCTGCAGGTCTATCACCAAGGGCTTCTAGAGCTTAGCAGGTAATTTGGAGAACAACTTGCCACCTCCTGACCATCTGTAAGCCAGCTGCCTCCAGGACTCACAGCCGATGGAGAGTTCCCTCTGAACGAGACAGCTTCTCTGCCCCATCATTAGGAACAGATTCAACCTGCTCCTGCCCTCTGCAGGAGCGGACTGAAGAAGCCTCCCAACAGGCATTTCAAAGACTAGAAACATGGACAACACATATCACTTTCCACAGGTAATTCACTCACTTTTTTTTGGAGGAGGAGAATGACAACAAATGAGGATGGGAATGGAAAAGAGATCCCATGAATGGTTTCCACTGTTTGCTGTTAGCATATCACCAGACAAATGAAGACACTAAATGTATCAGAACCCCCTGAAAACTTGGACTCAAAACAAAATCGTCCTGTTTTCTTCCTCTTAGCACTGCCTATTTACTGGCAAAAAAGAAAGCCCTAATTCTTTACTGTTGCAGCTCCTGGAGTAGAGTCAGTTGATGGCTATATGCCCTGCCAGTACTACACTTCCATGACCACTACTTCCTGCCCCTCGAGCTGCGACAGAAGAAAATCATAAAGCCACACGTAGAGTCACCATTAAAAAATGTCTGGTTTTCTGCAGTTCAGGTTTACCTCCGCTACAGCAACAAAGTGTTACAAAAAACTGTGATCAGAAGTATGGGAACCATCATGGATGAGGTAAAGCTCATCACCATTGACAGCAGAAGCTCTACTTTGAACCAAATAATTGCTGGTGTTAATTACAGGAGTAGCTCTCCACCAGGCAGTATTTGAGCACTTTTAACAGGGATTACCAGAGACAAGGAGAGCTCCTGCTTGGGTCTGTCTGGCCAAGGTCCACCACAAGGTTCCTCTCTCCCTTCTGCTTCACCTCTCCTCCCAGGAGAAGCTCCCACTATGGTGTTATCAAAAGGTGTCATCGAGGCTCATGGGCATTAGAGTAGAACAGAAAATATGTCTCTTCCTAGGGGCTGGAGCACAGGTCACGGGGAGGAGTAGGGAACATAACAGTTGGAGCTGAGGCAGAAATCAACATGCATGCACCAAGCTAACTATTGACAGCTGAAGGTCAAAGACACAGGTCTTCTGCACTGCCCCCGACATTTCTAGCTCTTTCTGCAGCCTAGAATCCATGCCAAGGAGAACTGCATCTACCCAGCTGCTCCTGAGAGTTTAAGGAGAGGAAGAAAAGAAAGAAAATAGCTACAGTGATAGTAAATTAAGACTCAGATAGTAAATTAAGGCTTCAGAGCACCAGAAGAAAAGAAACCAGAGCATTTATGACAAATCATGGGTTTGGAGGTGACAGTGGAGAACAGCACTGAATAATGACTAAAAAAGCCAGCCTGCACCTGCACTACCATACCCAAGGCTGTAATTTGCTGCAATCCAAGGTGATAACGATGGCAGTAAATGGGTTACACGTAGAACCAGATAGCCCAAGAATAAGCCACCAACTGCTTCGTAGCAACCACCATCATCACTGCACACTCAGCAGAAGTAGTTACAAAATGCTGCATGCCTTCTCAGAAAGGATACTGAAGAGTTGGGTGTGTGTGTCTTTGGATCCTGCTGAGGCAGGCAGTGCTGTAAGTAGCATCGTGAAATGTAAAGTGCCTGTCTCATATAAGCATATGCAAAATTGCAAGGTTTGTGGTATAAACTGGTGTTAGTAGGGCAAAGGGAAAAGTTGTGGACAGAAGGGAACAGACTTGATGCCAAAGATTAAGCTGCAAAAAGGTATTTACAAAACAAAGAGTTAAACCTGCTTAAAGTCAGGTTCAGCTGCTTCTAATTTTTTTTTTTAATAACATTTAAAAATTGCTGCCTCCCTGCAGAAAGCTATGCTCCTTTATTCTGAACAGCTGCCTACAGGTTAACTCCCCCATGCAGGTCATGCAGCACTGCCTGGATTTTCTGTTCAAAATAATCAACATTTACTATTTCCAGCATCTCCCACAGTACCAGGCACCTTCCACAAAGGGCCTAAAAAATCTGAGGCACTTTGAATCAAGTGCCCCAAAGCAGGAATATTTCCTTATAGCTTCCATCAATTAATAGATGGCATCTGCCCCGAAGCACAGGCATTTCTGAAGTGGAGGCTACTCATTACCTAGAAAGAAGGAGGAATTATTCCTTCTAGACTTGCTAAGCTCTTGCTTCCCTGAGCACCTCGAGCAATGCTGAGCTCTTCTTCCAGAAGGCAGGCACCTGGTCTGCACAGATCTCTTTGTGCATGCCTGCATCTTCGCCTTGGGCACCACTGCCCACTTTAGAAAGTGTAATTAGCCTCTTCCAAAGGTTATCCATGAATACAATCAATCCTTCAGGGCTTGGACTAATCCATGCATCATTTTTAAGTATATGTTACACAAAATTATAACTTTATCACATCACTACTTGCTCTTCCTTCCAAGGCAGTGGCCCTTTGTGCACCACAATTTATGACACCACAAGCTGGCAAGCTCCTTGCTTGGTTTTCTTTCTTTCAGTCTGTTCCTGATCCAAGATAGAACTTCATTTCTTGCTTCCACTGCTCACATTTCTTTATTAGCTCTTTGCAAAAGGCCTTGACGGAGTCAAGTAGATTACTTCTGGTTTCTTTCACCTATTATTTGCTAGTATAGTCTTAGAGCTGTTGTAATTAGGACGGCTTGATCCTATTATACCATGTTAAATTAGGTGTTACAGGATTTTATTTTATTCCCTGCTGTCTTATGAAGAGATAGCATGAAGGACAGCAGCTGTGTAAAACCAGTTGTTCACACAGACATTAAGAAAAACAGACCTAAAGAGATCATCTTTAAATTGAAATGGAGTTTTCTAAGCTTTGCCTATGCTTGGCAGATGAGTGATGAGATAATAATTACCCAAATTTACAGCACAACTTGAGCAACGCTGATATCATCAAGACGTTCACATGAATGATGTTCAAGCTTGAGGGACACAGGGACTGGACTAATGGAAAACGCCTGCCAAAGCAGTCTCAGAATGGCAGGTGCCAGGAGGAGGGAGTACCTGCCAGGGTGCCTGGAAGTGCAACCACTCGAACTGAATGCAGGGTGGTGTGATTCCAGGGGCTGGGAGCAGATCACAATTTAAGGAGAAATTCTATCTGTTGCTCCAGGAAATAAGACTTTACGGTGCATTGCACTGAGAATAGGCAGCTCATTTTAATGAGATGACAGATCATTGTCAGCAACTCAACCAATTTGTTTCTTCCACAGCTCTTAAGTGATCCTTCCTCTCCAGCAAGGCTTCATCTTTTTCAGAAATGAGGTGCTCTAATGTCAGTCTCATCAGTTGATTGATGGTGCATAATGATCATTCAGCTCCTCTGCAGTGCACTCTCTGTTTCTTAGGGGTTGATCTTTTCTACACTTCAAACTACCCCTTGGCATCCTTTCCTAACTGCTAGGCCAGGTAAAATAGGCATGTTGTAGGTCAGTATTTGTACCCAGCAAACCAGCATCTGGCTCCTGTCCACTTACACATGCATTCACTGTTACTGAAGCCCTAGGCCCTGTGTGGAGTGCAAGTCCCCCACCTCTGTGCAGGTTACTCAAAGGCAGGCAGGTGGCATTTTATTCTTGGGCCCTTGGGCAGAAGACAGGGTTATATCAAGGACAGTATTAGCACAGCGCACAGTACCGGGAAGTCGTTAATTGCTTGTATGGACCAACGTCGCCGGGCAGAGCGAGGAGACATCTGTATGTGAAAACGTTATACCCAGGAAAAGGGAAGAAAGACACCAAGAAAATTAAAGACAGTGGTAAATAAACTGAAAAGTGCCCTGAACCAGCAGAGTATAAAAGATACTGTTCCCAACGGTTCTGTTACACAACAAACAGTTGCAAACCACGATCCCCCCTTTCAGCCATACACAATTGTACTACACAACATTACCTACAGCCCTGGCAAAGCAAGGGCTGCTGTGTCTGTGCCCCACACCAGCCTCTGTGGAAGACTTCGGCAACCACAAATCTGAATAAAGTCTTCCACACGGAGTTGTATTACTGCAAGAAGCACTGAACTGCTTCATGTGACCTTGTTCATACCATGAACTGACAGTAGAGCAGAGGACAACACCCTGGCGCCCCACATGCCAGGCTCCTACTCTAACCAGTTTTACTCCTCTGGGCTGACGAGGAAGGCAGCTAAGTGCAAACTGCGTGATTTTTAACACAACTGTCCAGCGCCATGGCACAGAAATCTGCAGGAAGCTAAACAAACACTCCTGATTACTCAGATATCCCTGTCACGTCCAGCATCCTCCAGGACTTCATTCACTGGAACCTGCTGTAACTGTTCACTTTCATTTTAAACAATAAAAGCCACATGTCAGGATATTAGAAGAGATGTAGAGACCCTGCTACTTGCCAGGGCTGTGTGGAAGTTGTCATTATGGGATGAGGAACTCATTCAGGTTGAGTGAGCAATCAAATTCACTGACTGACTATGCAGAATAGCTCCAAAGGAGGCTTCGTTACAAACTTACAGACATTTCATTAAGTACTCAATGCAGTATTATAGCAACAATAAATGGAATCTCTCAAAGCACATTACTGTGCACTCACTTGAAAAAAGTTTTCTGTTATAGTTCTGTAAGAGTCAACACAATAAAAATTCGTGTCGTGTGCAATGTATTTTACATTTATTTCCAGCTGATGATAGGCAGTCAGGACCATCAGCCATGCCTTCAGCCTCTACCTTCCCTTGCATCTCACTGCTGGGAGAACCCTGCAGTCAGGGAGCCAAGGCGTGAGGCTGGCTGCAGGGCCCCACAGAAAGAGAGAGGAGAAGACTGCAGCCTTGTGCTACAGGTTCCTCCACCAGGCCTCACAAGAGAAGGAGAAAAGGGTTAGTTGAAGGAAATTCGGTAGAGTGGAGAAGAAGCAAAACTAAGCTCAGTTCCTCCACAAAGTCCTGCTCTCCTGTAGGCAGTCACTGTTGCCAGCCTACACTCCCATGTGCTGTGAGTCTGAGAGGTCTGCAACCAGGTGGGCACCAGGCAAAGCCTGAGGGATGTCCTGAGAAGCAGCAGTTTCCAAGCCCTGCCAAATTCCCCGATGCATGATGACACTGCTGTCACCACTCCTGTGTACAGCTGTCCCTCAGGCAAGGCTGAGCTGTCCCCAGGTCCCCACTGGCATGACCCTCTAACTTGGGGGAGAAAAACACAGCCATGGCACCTTCTTTAAGAGACATCCAGGTTTGAAACACTGATGGCATTGCCACAGTATAAAACAGCCTCTCCTTTCTCCTGACTACTATTCTGGGGTTTTTTTAAGGAGTGAAAAAGAGGGAGGAAGAAAGGACGAGTGTGCATGTGTGAACAAAAAGTGAGAAAGATATATGTATATATATACACATATATACACACACACGCATATTTAAATAAGCACAGAAAGGCTCAGTGCCAGATTTATTTTCATTTTGGTTTACTAAGGAGACCTCTGTTGGGTTCAGCA